TACATACATACATACATACATACATACATACATACATACATACATACATGATAAGACAACACAGTGACTTCTTCTTCATTCTTTTATTCACACAAAGTTATAAAAGGGGACGTGCCCTTTGTTCAGGCGCGCATTCACTTGAGTTTTCTCTGTGACTGCGTCTTCGAACGCTCTGGCCTTCGAATAAATCTCTTTATTGGACAAGATCGATCTTCTCTAATTATTAGGAAACTTTGCCTCACTCTTTTAAAGAACTTTTTCCATAACAATTTGGCGTTGTTGGCAGGATCCAGCGAGCAAAACACGCGGTGAGCGAAAAACGGGTCTTTGGCCGAGCTGAAGAATTTAACTTCAGTCCTCCTTAATTAGAAAAAGGAGGAACCTGAATCTCGCCTTCTGCGTCTATAGCCGCCTGGATCAACAAAGAGGTTTTACATCTTTATCGGGTGAGATATTGTTTCTTAAGAAAAAACTAAAAACGGAAAAAAAAGAAAAAAAAAACGGAAAAAACTAAGAAAAAAAAAAAAAAACGGAAAAACTAAAAACCTGCATGTCCTACAATATTGCGCTTCATGGGTAAGAACTGAGCCAAGACAGAACGGGGTTCTGCGGTAATATTCACCGGTCGGGGTGAATAAAGGAATTTGGGGAATTCCAGGGAATTCGGGGAATTCCCAGAGATTCACCAACGGGGTGAGTTCCGGCTATCTTAGTATTTCTTCGCCTATAAGAGAGTAAAACCAGGGGGAGACGTCCTTACTGAAAATGGGGTCCGGATCCAGTAAGTGCCAAGCTTTTACCTATGATTAGCCCAATATGTAAAGACATGTTAAAGAAATATGGTTCCGAATGTCTTGGGGCCTTTGAGAAATATGTGAAACGAACTAAGTGGGAAAATGATTGATGTACTTGAAAACGTGTTAAATTTGGAGAACTGAAGTAAAGATAAAAGAGTTTTAACCAGCGTAAAAGAGGGACACGCTGATATTTGTGGTACAACTCCAGTACTACCTCCATAATACTTGTGATACCTCACCTTTTTCACCATATATTTCATTACAGAAAACTGTGCAGGCCCTAAAAAGGACCGATCCGGACCTGGACTTCTGCCCTCCGATCCAACGAGCTCGGAACCCACAACAGCCTCCACGGGCCGCTCCGGACGCTCCAGATGTTCCGTCGCCATTAGCGACAGCGCCTCACGGGAAACTGAAAGCACCGATCAGTATGGGATCGGGGCCGTGGCAGAGGGAACTGGACGAGGCCAGTGTGGACGGCCACAGATGTTTTTTGACCGCTGTCACAACTGCGAAAAGCTACAACATTGGATGGGGGAGCGTCTGGAGCCGCCGCGTCAGGGCACGGTTGAAAGCGAATTGATCGGAGAGCAGAACTCCGGGAGAGGACGGTCATGCAACTTTGTCTCAAGGGAGTGAGGTGACACACACACACACACTTCTATACTCTCTAACTATGGGCCCTGCTTTAACTGATCCACATAGCTTGCTCACAGAGGCTATCATACACTTAGAGGCACAAACAAATACACCTGTGGGAACTTATGCTCATATGCAATGTGCAAAAACTATGCCAACGCTAACTTTAACGATATGTGGTCAAAAAGTTCAGTTCATGGTTGATTATGGGGCAACTCATTTGGTTTTAACTAGGTCTAGTTTAAGCCCTATCTCAAGACTGATTGGTTGGCATGTTTTTTTCTATTTCTGCTTCTGGAACTATGGTTAGAGACGTTTTTTCTGTTCCACTCGTGTGTTAAACAGAAACTGAAGTTCATTTGAAGCATTTGTTTTTGCTGTCTGAGCACTGTCCGGTATATCTGTTAGGGAGAGATTTTATGTGTTCTCTTTCTATCTTTTGGTGTCAATTACTGAGGGGCTAACTGCTTCTAGCAATGCTATTGTTATTCACAGTAAGGTTGCTGTTTTTGTTTCCCCCAACAACACTGTTGTATGCTAATCAGTGGAAGCTATCTCATAGTCATTTTTCAGCTCCCTTAGTGAAAATGGTGAGAGATATTGTTTCCCCACTGTTAGATTTTATGTCTCCTGAGGATTTGCACTGGACTGCCAATCCTATTTTTCAGACCAGATCATGAGTATGAGGGACGTTGATATCATGATTACTCTGATAAACTTGCCACAACTTCTTTTGTTTTTGAAATACAGACTTTTAAGTGTAGTAGGCTTATATTGCTGTCTGTTGTTGTCTGTCGTTGTCTACTGCCCAGTCGGCACTTTATCAGATGGAGGATGCTTGTCCACATGTGCCTTCAGCGAAATCCTCTGACATGCAGTGGCATGATTTGAGTCAGTTTGTTTGTTGTTGTCATTCTATTGAGGACTGGCAGGCTACAGCCACCTCTGAAGTTTTCTTTTTGCCCTTAACACAGACTTTTAAGCTGGTTTTTATATCCTCATTTCATCGCACTGCTCATCTGTTGCAGCCCGCTTCTGGTTTTGTCTCTCTGCCTGCAGACTCACTCCGTGAGGAGTTGAGGGCTGTCCCACCTGATTTATGGTCATCACATAGATATGATGTGGGTCTATGAAAGGACTGTGAGTCCGTGGTCATAAAACCCAGATCTGACTCCAGACCAAGACAAAATAATATCCCCTTAAAAGAGAAGCGATTGAGGTTATTTGCCCAGTTTTTCTGTTACTGAGACACTCTGGTGTCATTGTTCCTTGCCCCACCTCCCCTGTGCGCACACCTTTTTTTTTTTTCCCAGTGAAAATGATCAGACTCGGGGACGCCCGATAAGTGGAGCTTTTTCAGGACCTCCAAGCTGTGGTCCCAAGAACTCCACCTGTACCTTATCCTCACTCAATTTTTATCTCAGATTCTATGTTTTTCTCTGTGGTCGACCTGTCTTATTTATTTATTTTTTTTCTGTTCCTGGACATCCTGACAGTCAGTATTGGTTTGTGTTTGAGTTTGAAGGGAAACCTTACACGTTCACCAGACTCTGTCAGGGTTATTTTAAGAGCCCGACAGGCCTCATTAGACTATTTGACTTTGACTGACGACTATGTGTTTTCACAATATGTGAATGACCTGTTTGTATACGCTCCTACAAAGGAGCAATGTACTCTAACACTGTGAAACTTATTGAACATCTTCATGCAAAGCTGAGGATGGCGACCTTCATGACTGTTCTGTTACCTTACAAAAAGTTTGGCCTGATCTCTCTGATTTTCCTCTCACTAACTCTGTTCTAACTCATGTTGATGGTTCTTCCCGTCGCTCTGACTCAGGGACCGACCAAGTGGGCTTTACTGTGTGTTCAAATTTTGGGGTTGTCTGTTCTTTCCCTTTTACCCCCACATTGTTCAGTTCAAATTGCTGAACTCATTGCTCTCACTGAGCCATGCGGCTGAGGGCCAGACTGCTAACATCTACTCTGATTCTAGATACGCCTTTGGATGATTTTGCTATTCTCTTGCCCTCTAAAAATTGCTTTTGTTAAATACAGGTTCTTTGGACCCGGTGCCAAAGGGAAAAGCTTCTGCCGATGCTGCTGCATGTCAACCGCTTTCTTCTTCTGATCTCTGTGTTTTATCTGCTTCCCTTCCTCCTGTCCCTCCTCCATTTTGTGTCTGACTTACAGGCTTTGCCTCCCCTGCGTAAAGGTTGCTTTGGTCTCGCAGTGGCTGCAGCTCAACACTGGATGGCTGGTTTTCTGAGGATGGCAGACCCTGTCTGCCTAAACATTTCTTTCTTTGGTTTGTTAAGTGGAGCCATGGGTTAGACCATGCCTCAAAAGGGGGAATGAGCTTCAACACATTGGTTTACGAAACGTTTTACCATCATGGCAGAAAAGTTCTGCAAAAAACGTCTGGTTTGTGCCTCCCACAACCCAGGTCGAGCACCACCAGTTGTTCAAGCAGCACACCCGCCACCAAAAAAAGCTAGTCTTGACCAGTGAACTCATCTAACAATGAAATGTCCGTTCAAAGATCAGACCCACATCTGGTTGTGCTAGTCTGTTAGTTTGAGAGGATCATTTTTCAGCTGATTCCAGTCAGACCACCTGAAATTCTCCAGTCCTCACGGTCTCCCTCTACCTGTTCTTGTAAGTGAGTCGGACGGTCCTGGTGTTTTCGGACTTGCCGGAGTGCTGCTCCTTGGAGGCCTGCTCCCATTTGGAGATGATGTCGCAAATCTGCGGACGACACGAGGGGCGGCCTTAGATGCGGCGCTTCCAACATCCCGGTTAAAAATCCCCACGGGCGCGCACCTTGATGCCTCCTTGGATGCAGTGCTCCAGCTCTCGTCCGGTGGGGTCGTCGGTGTACAGGCTGAAACCGGAGAGTCCCGGTTTTCTCATGCCCATGTCCTGGTTGAGGCGGCACTGGAACTCGTCCACTGTCGTCGAGGCATCGAAGCTGACCACCTAGAGGGAGGGGAAATAGAGGCCACGGAGGCAAACGTAAAAGAAGAAAATTCAAAATTCTGACATGATTGAAAATACGTTTTGAAAGTTGATATTATAATACCAACACTTTATATTAAAGTACCAAATAACATGTACAATAGAGCACCCTACAATACCCCTACATCAAACAGGCCCCCAAGATGTCTTGCTCATGCCCCCGATAAGAGATATACAAAAAACCTGAATATCTCTAAGACAATGGAGCTTTTTTAAGCAGGCGGATCCTATTCTTTCCTAGAAAAGTTTCCATTGGAATATGTCTGATCTATGCATGGGCCATCACACACAGATCAAAAATGGATTTAAAAAATGTAAAAAAGCTTAGTGCTTAATCGGAGGAGAACCACTGATATTATCACTACTGGCTCCTTTACATCAAAATTTCGAGGGGTTATTCCCTCACAAGTGCGCTAACCTACACACGACATCATAAAAACCTTAAAGGTTGAGTAGTACAATATATGCAGCTTTTTACCAAATGATATTAAATGATTGTGGTTATTATTGGACTTGTGTTAGCTAAGATTAGGTCCAGTTAAAAGTTGAAACTATTGATGGTCAGTACAAAACTTAAAATGCAGTGGAAGTTGTTTCTTTTGGTTCTAAGTGTAGTGGATAGAATTCCTCTTCTTTATTTTCTTTATTAGTGCACTCTCAGCTCTTATTTATATTCACGTTCACATAGCTGCGTTTAACAAACGGGGCCAGATTTTCTCATTTCCTTTTTAAAAGTTTTTATCTCATCACTGTGACAAAGAAAGTAAGCTTGGAATGACGGAAACGCCCTTTGTTTTTAACATTCTTTTTTTTTTAAACACTCAGAAGTAAACACAATCCTATAGATGTCAAGAGATCTGCCTCTGGATGTACACCATACTAGAATTACCTGGTAGGTATTGTTGAGGAAGTGAACAGGGACGCTGAAGGGCAGGGAGTGGTGGTACGGATTCCTCAGCAGAATGGACAGGATCTCCATGCGGGATGGCCTGGCCTGCCGCTCCCCTTTCTGCTGCGTCCGCTCCAAAGAGCGCTGGCAGTAGATGGCGTACTTCCCCACCTCTGTCCTGGGGTCAGATACTCCGGACACTTTTACAGCTGACATTTCAGATTTCTAGTTCATAGCTAGTCTTTTATTGGCCATCAGGAGGGAAAAAAGGATAGAAATTGTGGCTCTGTGAACGTTATCTGTGGTTTCAGCCTATAATGCTATGGGTGCCTTACTCAGCGCGCACGTTTCTGAGACCTATATCAATATATTTGCGTAAAAATGTGGCTAAAAATCCTATTTCAACAAACAATTCATACATTATTTATTTAGTGGGATTGCCACACTGGGAAGCTAGCAACCCCATGTTCCAACACTTCTCATATACGTACACTGACACATTATTATTACATGTATTTATTTATCACTGAAACACTTAATAGCGCACATATTTGGTTGACTTTAGTATTTTTCTTTTGTCTTGTTTTACTGGTGGTGGGAGCAGCAGCTGACCTATGAGGACAGGTGATCGGGCCATATCGAGATCTGTTGCATCATGGAGGGGGACACTAAATTAATTTCTCTTAAATTGTCATTTTTTCCCGTTAGAAATGTCACCTCACAGGAAGAGGTTTCCTGGCTGGAATTCATGGAAAGACTGGAGGCATTTCTGTGCTCTTGGGTTTAGAAGGTTGGAAGGAAGCTTGGAATTATGTAAACAGACGTTGTGTTTTCGATATCCTTTCTTAAAAAACACAATCCTCTAGATTTCAAGAGATCTTTTTTTTATTACTGTCTGTCTACATGTATCCCTGGGTCTTTATTTCAAGCCCTTGTGTGTTCTTTTTTTTTTTTACCACCGCTGCCTTCTCACCTGGAGTCTCCGTGCTTTTTGAGGTGAGCCTGAAGCAGCCAGAGGAACAGGTGCTGAGGGAGAAACAGCCCCACACACAGGGCCAGAAACTGCCAGCCCTGGAGAAAGAGAGACAAGAGGCCGCCGGCGCATTCTTTACTCGCCGTCACGAGCGTGAGTCAGACCATCTGCATGTGAAGCACCAGAGGAATCAGACTAAGAGCAGCAGTTGTGAGTTCCACACCGTGACACAATCGAGTGAATTGCGGACTGCTTTGATCCCGTCCACGTATGACACAAAAGCGCAAAGAAAGCGGAGGATTAGGTGATGACTCATGCTGCTCTTTGTCACCAACTGACACATGAGAGCATCTCTTCAGAGTTTCCTCTGAGAAAAAAACCCCCAAAACCTTCCCTGCTATTAACTGGCTTGCGCCATTCAAACTTAAAGATACTTAAAGGGAACAAATTCGGTCTGGGGTCATCGTTTAGTTGGGAATCCCAGGCGTTTTAGGGCCTTCTCCGAGAGTCCCGGCGTGTCCCGCCGGCGCCCCCGTGTGGTGAGAGCACGCACCTGCAGGGGTCCCGGCTGGCCGTGCAGCTGCCTCCGGCGGGTCTGCTTGGTGAGCTGGCAGAACAGCTCGTTCTGCAGCTCGGGGTGGGTCAGGCACACCTGCAGCGCGCTCTGGGCCAGAGAGACGTGGTAGTCGATGACCGGCGCGTCGATGGCCACGTTGATGAAGAGCTGGCAGGTCTGAGGGGAGACGGGGCGAGAGTCAAAAGAGAGAGATGCAGAAAAACGACCTCACCGACTTCTGTTCTGATTGTAAATATACCTACTGTGATCACCAAACTGTGTATAAGAATGAATAAATCGACTGGCTCTCACGGAATACATAAAAGCGCACATTAGTGTACCTTAAAGAGCTTCACGGCCTCCGTCTGAAGGGCCTGGGAGGGCAGAGTGGTGAGAGGAGATGACAGAGCTTCTTTACTGAAGCACAACGTGGGATGTCTCCAGATCTGAGAATCTAAAAGACAGGCCACAGGCAGCTGAGGCGACGTTGCAGTGCAGCAGGACTTTTATGTATCTGTTTCACATCACCTTTTTAGAAAGAAGTTTACAGTTTACTGGTCTGGAACAATTTAGTGGCATGTTCTGGCGGGCTAAAACACACGCAGGGAAAGTAACGCGGTAGCCCGAATCTCAGAGGAGCAATTGTCGCTCCCCATTAATGTGGTCCATCGTTCTACAGTGAGAAAGAAGCTTTTTTTTTTTTTTTTTACATGGTACACCCCAAGGTAAAGCTAAATGGGCCTTTCCAACACAACATGAAAGACAGATAACGTCATCCATAAAAAAAAACAGCTATTATTATTACTATTGCCACAGCTGGCTCTATCATTTAAATGCTCCTGCATTTAGGTTTTTTTTAAAAGACGTAATAACACTACAGTATCTCGGCTAATTTTACATGAGCCTTAGAAGTGGAAACTACCTTAGAAGTGGAATAGTTTGTTCTTTCTTTTAAACACACCTGTATTTTTCTAAAATTAACTATAGAATAGTCCTGGAGAAGGATCTTTATCTAGAAAAAAAAAGAAAAAAAATTTGAATACTCACTTGGATCACCGTCCAGCTGGAAGAGTTTTCCTACCAGTTGCTCAAACTCGGTTCCGACTTTCCCCACCGTGGTGCCTGCAGCCACCGACAGATGGTACAGCCACGAGTCCTGTGCGGGGATCGATTCAAAATCAAACCCCTCTCTATTATCTTCTAATTTCTAAAGCTGAAAAGATGGCAGAGGGATAGATTTTCGAAAAAAACGGCGTCGGACTGACCTTTTCGTGGCGGGACTCGATGAGTAAATAGGTGGGGCCTTGCTCCTGTGGATGGACGGCGATGGTGAAGGGCGCTCCGGGCAAGCTCCGCCCAGACGCCTTAGAGTCGTCGTCCGAGTCCCTGGACCTGTCCACCTCCTCGACCCGGGCCTCCCAAAGCTTGATCTGGCCCAGTGGGAACTGGGAAAACAGAGTCAGCATACTGCTCACGCTCACTAAAAACACACCAAAAAAAACACCTGCGAGTGAAACCTTAAGCACACCTTGTCCTCTTGGCTGCGAAAGTAGTATAAAGTTTTGCCAATCAGAGCGCACCAGACCCTCTTGGAGTATCCGTGCTTCACCTGAAACAGAGAAACCACAGATTTTAGAATCTGAGGGGGAGGCCGTCATAACGCGAGAGGAAATGCTTCTGTAACAACACAGAGAAGAATGTATATTTTCATCTAAGAAAATAATAAAAGGAGACATATTCGGGTCATATTGGTACGTCGCAAGGTGGTGTGGTGGTTAGCATCATCACTTCACTGCAAGAAGCTCCTGGGTTCAAGTCCCAGGGGAACCAGGACCTTTCTGTGTGGAGTTTGCATGTTCTCCCTGTGTCTGCGTGGGTTCTCTCCGGGTTCTCCGGCTTCCTCCCACAGTCCAAAAACCTGCATGTTAGGTTGATTGGACATTCCAAATTGCCCTTAGGAGTGCATGTGAGTGTTCACGGTTGTTTGTCCTTGTGTGTCTCTGTGTGTGGCCCTACGACTGGTCCAGGGTGTACCCCGCCTCTCGCCCATTGACCACTGGGATAGGCTCCTGTCCCCCTAGGACCCCATTAGGGAATAAGCGGTAACAATGATGGATGGATGGATGGATGGATGGATGGTACCAACCTTGATGAGCAGTCCCTTCATGCCGGGTCGGATGTCCGGCTGCGTGAAGAGAGGACTGGCGGCCTTCACCCTCAGCACGCTCTGCAGCACCCGCAGCCACTCCTCCAGCAGGTTCGGGGAGTCGGCCTTCAGGCAGTAAACGTGCTTACCCGTCGCCAACTGCCCCAAAAGACGACAAAGGCGAAGGCCATTAATCGCGTGGCGGCGAAAATACTCGCCAATTGGCAAGGAGACGAGTCACGCCGACGCACCTGAAGGACCTGTTTTCCGTCCCCGCGGGAGATGCTGCTGGTGGCGTTGACTTCGATCTGTCCCTGAGGTTTCCGGATCACGTCGCTCTGCGAGAGAAAAAAAACGACACGGCGTTGGCCGCCGTCCCGTCTTCACAAAGGAGCTTTTCACTCACAGCGGTTTGATTAAAAAAAATAAAATAAAATAAATCCCATTATCGTGTCAGAAATTAAACCTACTGGCGACTTGTAGTAGAGCAGCTCTCCGTCTTTGAGGACGAACCAGCGCCTCTTCCAGGTTTTCTTCCAGGTCTTGACCATTTTCAACAGGTAGCCCGACTTCTCCATTGGCTCCTATAAGACACCGGTTTTTATTCATTTTTCAAAATGTTGACATTTTTGTTTAGGTATGTATATCGGTTCTGTTTGGGTTAGGGTAGGGACGGTTAAATCTGGTGACTCTTAATCTGCCAACAAAGAAACATCACACAAAAAAAGAAAAATAGTTTTGTATGTAGTGAAATACAATAGCAAATTGCAAGGGATTTGCACATTTCCTCCTCTTTAGTTTAGAATATGATGAGATCTTAAATAGACAGGACCACTGACAGGACCGCATAATGAACTGCAACTCATACATGACAGATATAATCACATGGGAAAAGAATTTTCGTGCAAAAGGATTTGCGAAGCACTAAAACTTGAGGTTAAATTCAGAATTAACACTCAATAATGTACTGTGCAAAAATAAATAAATGTTAATCTTGATCAAAGGTAGCTTTTTCTTCTGATGTCTGGGGTTTCAGAATTGCAGTTTTTTGGGGAAAATTATGAAAAAATACACTTTTTCAGGTCCTTTAGTACAGGGTTCTCATCATTGAAATATAAAAGTGTATTTGCAATTCAAAATGCATTGAATCCATAATGTTGACTCATTAAGTTGTTCTGGTTTCTGATGCTCCAGGTGCAGACCAGGCAGTGGCAGGTGACAGGAGATAAGTGAACTAAAGGAGGATTTCAGGTGAAAATCCAGTGAACCTGGAAAACCTAAAAACTAAACAGTTCTAAAATGAAAAGGAGAAGCACAAAACGAAACGAGACAAACGACTCGAACAAGAATCTGACACGGAATGAAACCGCGAGCTAGTTTGAAAACAGAGGAGAGCCATTGGTAAGTGGCTGAAGTGTAAACTGAGCAAAAAAAAAAAACAAGAGACGCTGAGCAAAACTAGGGATAACGGATCAGAAATATAAACCAGGGAGCGGAAAATATATCGATTCAAAAGCTCCAGGGGTGAAAGAAACACGAAAAACACAAAACTATACAGCAACTCAAACAGGAAAACTAAAAACCAAGATAAAAAAAAATCATGACAGATGCTGTCCGCGGTGGACTACAAAAAGTCAAAGCAAACGGGCAGAATTTACCATTTCCAGATTGTCTGAACGGCTGTGAGCCGTTAGAGAGGACGGGGTAGCTCCTGGGACTCACACTCTTTCCGTCGTCGCTGGCCGGGCCGCAGGTCTTGGGCAGTTTCTGCTCGGGTTCGGAGCACTCGGTGTCGGTGGAGTAGGCGTCGGGGGGGATGGCGTAGTCGCTTTCTGACGTCACGGAAGCCATGGACACGGCTGGAGGAGAGACGGAGCGGGATATGCAACACGGGAGGAAGTTAAATCCAACTCAAATATTTGTTTTATGCTAAATCGTCTGCTTTGGGAATTCCATGCTGGACGCGCGGTGCACCTCTCTTTAGGGAGCGCGGGCTGCCCGTGCCGCTGTCCTTCCTGGAGCTGGAGGAGTTGTGGGAGCTGGAGAGGGAGCCGTCCTCCTCTCCTCCGGAGCTGGAGGACTCCTCGGAACTGGAGGACTCGTCTGAGATGGGACTGCTGCTCAGCAGGGTGGCTTTCTACCAGAGGAGGGGGGAGGCCCAGGCATTGAGACCAGGTCACTTCAGTACGTTTAAAGGCCAAAAATGACTGTACTCACCCCCTTCAGAGTTGTGTAAACCGGTGTGGTCATGTTTTTGTAGACGAGGGAGGTGAACATGACGAAGGAGGGGTAGGACGATTGCAGGGAGGGGTCTGGACGCAGATGGAACCGCGGTCGGTCACAGGCCGTCATAGAAGTAAAACGGAACTCTTTATATTATATGTGTGCGTCTTACCTTTGACAGCCAGGTCTGAGCAGGACGTGTCGGATAATCTGATTCCCGATTTGGCAACGGCATAGATACGGCTTTCCTGTCAAAGAAATTCGGAATGGCTGTCATTTCCATGCTCATATGAGAAAACAAACAACAACAATGGATGTAAATGTAACTAAATGTAGACTGTAATGAGTATGATACGAGTAGATACCCAGGAGGGGAGCCTGTGAAGAGGTGGAGTCGGGGGTTTGCTGCCGGGCCTCTCTGAGCTCATCTCGGTCCCGGGTTCGGGTTCGGGCTCGGGCGGGGTTTCTGTGGGGTGGACCCGGGGCGGCCCCTCCCTGCCGACCTCCATGCCGTCCTCCCGCTGCTGGTCCGGGTCGGCCTCCCGGTCCAGGTCGGTCTCCTGGGGGCGGGGGGGCCGCAGCATGCTGAGGGCGTTGCGCGTCTGGCCGTGCCGCGGCTCGCTGCCCGCCGGCGGCTGGCTGAGGTGCTTCTTCGCCAGGGCGACGCTGAGCGGCCCCGCCCCCCCCACCGGCGTTTTCAGACGGGGCTGTTTGGGCGAGGCGGGCCTGTCCCTGGGGTCGTGGGGCGGGTTGGGCCTCTTCGGGGTGCCGGGGCCGGGGCTGGGGGTGTTGGGCTCGCTGGAGGAGGACGAGGAGTCCAGCCTCTGCGACTGGAATCGCCGGTTGAGCTCCTCGGAGGCGCGGTCCTCCGCCTTGACCCCGCGGCCCTCCCCCCGCCCGAGCTCACGCCCTCCCGGGCCCCCGTCCGGGGCGTCCGGCAGGGCGAAGCAGGGCCGCTCGGCCCGCTGCATGTCGTCGTCGAACAGCGAGCTGCTGTCGTCCGAGGCGGTCAGGTAGGTCTCGCTGCCCGGCCGGCTGAAGTCCAGGCTGCACGCCCCGGCCCCCGGGCCCTCGCCGGACGCCCCCTCCTCCTCCGATGCGGCGCGGCTGCGTGGGGGCTCGCGGGCGCCCTCCCCGCCGTCCTCGGGCTGGCCGCCGTCGCCTTCCGCTCCGTGAGCCCCCTCGTCCGTCTGCTGGGAGGCTCTCCGCCTGTCTGCTGACGTATTGCCGCTCCTCTCTGGTGACGACAAGCACAGACAGCTTTTTTAAAATGTTTTTTTATATATTTTTTTATTTATTTATTTATTTATTTATTTATTTTTTATTAATTAATTAATTAATTAATTTATTTATTTATTTATTTAAAAAAAATTTTTTTTAATTAATTAATTTTTTTGTTTAATTCATAATTTCATGAATTTATTTTTTTTAAATTTTATTTATTTGTTTAATAAATTATTTTATGTATTTATATGTTTATTTTTTTTAAATAATGTTTTCTTTTCTTGTTTTTCTGCTTCTAAATTCTCCGCGAAGCACTTGGAACTGTCTTGTACACGAAATGTGCTACGCAAATAAACTTGCCTTGCTTTGCCTTTCAACAACAAAAAACAGCTTTTCGCTTAGACTGCTTTAGACGTTTAGACAGTTGTTCTCGTGATCGAATAAGGGATGGCTTGTGGACACGTTGAGCCAGTTGGTTAACAAATATATTATGGATGCACGTTGATTACAGTCGTCCTACCACCACCCCGAACATGCAATGTCTGGTTAATCGGAGACTCTAAATTGCCCCCATGAGTAAATGTGAGTGTGTATGGTTGTTTGTCTCTGTGTGACCGTGTTATAGGCAGGTGAGCTGTCCAGGGTTAGGGTCACTAGGAATAAGCAGTTTTGACCATGGATGGATGGATGGATTACATTTCATCATTTAAAGCATCACAATGAATTTCTACATTACACAACAGCATTTTGTGCCATTTTAACTAAACAAAGTTGAAAAATACACTGTATACGGTCAAAGCACACTGTTGAAAATAGTGACCCAGTAGGAGGACGTTCATGTCTCCTGAGGTACGTTTGTGTTGGATGTACCCTTTATGGCCAAAAATTGGACCCCAAGGTGTAAATTTGTACTTTTAGAGGCCAAAGTAGTAAATCGACAAGGGACCTTTGAGGGTTCCACCCCAGTGGTTCGTCTTTAGACATCTAAAGGTACAATTAGGTGCTTTCTTTTTGGAGAGTCCCTTACACACTTTAACTTAAGGTTAAAAAAAATCTAATGAATAAACTCAATCTATCACTACAGAATTGTTTTGAACTATTTTTATAGCTTTTTTTTCAATTGCAAACTGCTTTGCAATAAGCTGAACATCTAGCATACTTAGCCCATTTGGACATATTTTTTATTTATTTTTCAGTCCAGATCTGGCACTGTTTTGGCTGCTGGTTTTAATATAGTTTATTTAGTACATTCCTAATCTTTATTTTTCTGTTTTTTCTCATTTTAGTTCGATTATGCCAGCCTTTTCTCGCCCCGAGGGAGAATTTTTTTTCCCAAACACGTAGGCATGACCTCATCACCGAAGTGTGCCTTCCTGTGTCCAGCTCCGTAAATAATCCCCTTTGCCGTGACTGAGGGGGGGACTCACCGGTCGTGTCGTTCTCTCCCGGTGTGCTGAGGGTCCTCTGGGATGGCGCCGGTCCCGTCAGGACCTGGGGGCTCTTCCCCCTCACCTGGAAACAGCCAAAGGTCAGGCTGCTGAGGCGCTGGGCCTGGCCCGGTCTGCACGGGAGTCCTCGCCCGCCGCCGCACTTCTGCTCGAAGGCTGGAAAGCACATTTGCGCTCACACGTCTGTGCGCGTTCGCTCCGCGCGCGCGTGTTGATTGTAAACGCCTCTCACCCTGCACTTGTTTCTGCAGCTCCAGGATTTGAGCCTCCTGCAGCTGGTTGGTCTCCCTTAAAGCCGCGTTCTCCACCTCGAACTGGGGGCACAATTTCGAAAAGTGGGCCAGAGTTTCAAAACGGACGCGGTCGTCTTCGGGCCGCGGCCTCGAGATCCGCTCAGATTACCTCTGACAACCTCAGCATCACCCACTCCTTGATCCTGGCTGCTTTCTCCTCCACCATTTTGGCGTCCAGGAGCCGGGTCTGTTTCTGTTGAAGTAAAAAAAAAAGAAATTTGATCCTTGACAGAGGAGTTTGTGGGTCCAAAATTCAGGCAAGAAGACAACACAATAAATATCCACTGGAAATATGGATGGATGGATAGATAGATAGATGTATAGATAGATAGATGTCTGGATGTCTAGATAGATGTCTAGATAGATAGATGTATAGATGTCTAGATAGATGTATAGATGTCTAGATAGATGTCTAGATAGATAGATGTCTAGATAGATAGATGTCTAGATAGATGTATAGATGTCTAGATAGATGTCTAGATAGATAGATGTCTAGATAGATAGATAGATAGATGTCTAGATAGATAGATAGATAGATAGATAGATGTCTAGATAGATGTCTAGATAGATGTCTAGATAGATAGATAGATAGATAGATAGATAGATAGATAGATAGATAGATAGATAGATAGATAGATAGATAGAGGTAAAATGAGAGGAAAGTAGGAGCCCCCATTGGCAGCAAATCTGTTGGAACTCTTTGCATCTGTGTCTTTCACCTGCTCCTCCAGCTGCTGCTCCAGCTGTGCGATGGCGTCCTCCCTCTCCCGTAGCGACGCCTGCAGCTCCTGGCACTGCTGGAACAAGCGCACCTCCGCGTCCCCAGACTGGCCGTCCGGGGCCTTGAGCTTCTCCTCCATCCACTGCGCCTGAAACCACGCCCCAAGCGCTTAAAAAAAAAAAAAAAAACTCTCCGAGCGGCTCCTCGTTTGGGAAACCCTTACGTACCTGCTGCTGCGCGGTGAAGGCCCGCTTTTCTGCATCCATCACCTGCATCTCCAACTGCTGAATCTGCAAAGATATCACACCATGATCTTCTTCTTCATCTTCCTCGCCCGTAATTGCTCGCTAGTCATTTGAACTGAGAGTTGTTTTGGGCCAAAATTGTAGAATCAATTCAGGGAAAGTTTGTACTGTATGAGCTGAGAGTTTTCAGTTTGCGAAAATTTCTGCTGAAAAGGTGGTTTTTTGTGGTGTGTTAAAGTAGTTTAGTCTTTTTAAAGAGGAAGAGGAAGATGAAAACTTTAAAAAAATGTATATAAAAGAGAAGAAAAAAAAGTAGTTTAGTCTTTTCTTTCCTCTTGAGGTTATCTTACCCTGCATGGTAAGCGCGACTGATTCAGATGTAGGTAAACATAGTTTAAGAGCGGAGTTTTATTTTTATTTTTTTAACGTGGTATAAAAATTAGGCATTCATACTATTTTGAAGGTTTTTAATTAGTGTAAAATCTTCACAGAATTGAACATTTTCAGTAGTTTTGATGCATTATCAAAGATCTGAAACAAAAGTAAAGATTTTGAGAAAAATATCATTTCGAGTCATTTGTTCACAGGAAAATGTAACAAAAAGTCATAATTACTGAAACGATTTGAGGATGCCAGATGTTACCCAACTGGTGAAAGAGAATCAGAAAAACTATTTATTTTCGTTTTAATTTCCAAACCCCTACATCTTAAAAGCCATAAAAAAAGAGGATCTTTATAGATGCTTTAACAACTGGTTTAGGCGGAAATGAATTAGCTAAGGACCCTGACACACGTAAAGGGACACGTAAAGCACAACGTAAGCGCCTCATTTACACCCCGTTATCTAAAATGGCTCTAACTGAGCAGAATGTCTGCAGTCTGATGCCAAACCCAACAACGCCAAATAAAGACAAAAACCCTGCATGCTTACGGTGTAATTAGAACTCCATTTAAGATAGAACTGCAACAGGAGAAGAGAGCAGATGCTGTTCAGCTGGACCTGCTTCTTATTACCCAAAAGAACGTCGAACGCACAGCCGCAAACATTCCTTCTCATCTGTATCTCATCTATGTTCGTTGTTTCCAGATTTTTTAGAGCTTGTCTTACACTTGTGTATTTCAGCTAAAAACAAACTGGCCATAATCTCTAGAAACTACTGCGAAAAATGGCTAATGTGGTTTAGTTTGAACATTCCAGTGCGCTTGAAGACTGAAAAGTGCAAGGTTCTGTTTGTCCAACTTGGATTTCTGACATGTCAGCCCGAGTGTTGCTTGTCAAAAGACCCACTGTGGGCATGTGGGACCCACCGGACCCACATGGAGACTCAGGTGATGACAAGGGGGCTTGACACCGATTTATTGACAGAAGAGAAATAAAAAAGTGAAGCCAAGCCAGAACACCAGATATGAAACATCCTAAAGAGTAACAAAAACCAGAGGGTTATTCGAAACATAAATGGGGAGACGTGAGGGCACCCAAACCAAGGCTGAAACAGTGGTGACAACAGTAAGGACTCTTACTGACAAAGACAAACCAAACGGGGAGTTGAAATACTTTGGAGGAGTGAATGGTGGCAGCTGAGTGGAATGAACTGGTAAAGAAAGCAGAGCCAGTGACCGGAACAGGAGGGAACTTAGGAAATACAGAATAATGAACAGGATCAAATACTAAACACAAACCGGGAAAAAATATGTGATCTATGGAGAAAAATGGGCCCCACAAATCACATAATTCTTGTCATTTTCATTTAAAAAAACAAGTATCATCACCGAATGTCAAATAGGGCTCCACAGGTTACTTTGACCATATTTTAATACATTGATTTGAGTTTAGTTTGTTGCATCTCTGGGTTTTCATGGGCTAAAATCGGAAATTTGACTGACATTTACAGCACGTGGGTTGCTTTTCATGTCTGTAAAAGTGAAATACGTGTCACCTTAAAGTGGTTTCGCCATTTCCAAAGTCACACATGCTCTTTTTTTGTTTGTTTTTTTGCTCAGAGACCAGATCAGGGCGCGTGGCACCTGGCAGGAGTGTGTTAAGACTGCAGCAACTCCAAAGGGTTACACGAATAAAAGCAACACACACACACACACACACACACACAAGGGATTTAAGACTTGTGGGATTTCGAGGAGAGAAAGAGGGAGTATGATGACTTTATGAGCAACATTCCTCTGAAATTCCTCCGCTCAAAGTGGCGGAAGCAGCGGAGGGGAACCAGCGTCCTCGGAGGGAAAGTCTCCCGGACCTCAGCAGATTTAAAAACGGGGAAAAAAGGAATGTCGAGGGGAAATTTCTGGGTTATGGGTTGGAATATTCTGTTTCATGATCAAGATGAAGGGAAACCCTCGCCGGTGTCTCAGCCCAGCCTCCTTTAAACTGGACGGGATGCAGAATATAAATACTAAATAGCAAAGGGGGTCATTTATGTCACCAGTTACAAATGCGGTACGCATTTTTACCAATTTGTAAAAATAGTGGAGGGATGCCATATTTTGTATTTTAATCTTTTTCTGTTTATGTTGAAGTTTGGGAGTTAAGTTGTATGTTTCTATATTTTCTTTTTCTTTTTAGTACATCATCACTTGTCGTAGTTATTGTTAGGGATTTTATATGTCTGCTTTGACTCTGCCCAGAGGAAATGGCGACTGTTTTTAAACTAAGAACTGAAAACAAAAGGTAAACTGCAATATTTACAAAGGTAGATTTAAAGATGGATGCCAGGAGTCATTGGATGCTACAAAATCCAGACCATAACCCCAGTGAGAACCTTTGGGATTTGTTCCTGTGGTCCGGCAGTGTTTATTCAATACAAAATAACAGATAACAGAAAGGTTTAATGACAAAATCAGACACTGTGAGACAATGAGTTTTCTGATTTCTGACAGGACATTTTTATGATGGAACAAATCTTCTTACATAAAAGGCCAGGAGAATTTCAAGGATAAGACAAGATCTTTCCATATTACTAAAATGGATAATTATTTTCCTATCGAAGGAAAAAAGGAATTTCCACAAACTGCTCGGTGTCATAAAAAAATGTTTTTATCTTGCCACCTACTCATTAGAAAGTGTGGACCTTCTGCATGTAGGTAAAGATCCAATTAAGATTTGTGGATATGGATGATCTGGAGAGTGACAACTGTTTTACTGCAAGAAGGACACGGCCTCGCTCCAGTTTTCCCCGGCTTCTTGTTAGACTTCCAGACACCAGAAGAAAAAAGCGGACCCAGCCGGTCAGGAGGCAGCCACACCCTGCCAGACACCCTCACTGTTTCCACTTTGGAACGCTTTTTGGACCAAAGCAGAAGCAAAGACTGTTTTATTCCGTCGCGTTCATCATTTTTAGAGACAAACTCGGAGGATGTTATGAAAAGAGAAGCCCACATTTAGCCTGGAAAACAGGTGTTTCGATGAACTCGGAGCTTTTCGACCCCATACAGAAGAGAAAACTGTTAAAAAAAAGAAACAAAAACCCTAAAACAACATGTCTATATTAAGAGACATAAAACCCTTCTATGAGTTCCTTCCATCTTTTCCTGTAGTTACTTTGAGACTCTCTCATTTTAGTCACGGTAAAAAATCATCTGCTCGCTGAACTTCAGAGCAAACTCGACATCAGACCCTGAAATACTCGTCTCCATATAGATCCTCCGCCGTACCACAAATGACAAACCGCATGTGCCTCCCCTCAGCAACACATATAGCATCGGGCAAAAAAAAAAAAGAAAGAAAAGCACATGTTTAATTACAGGACGAGTGTATTTTAGGGCACAGCTGCAGTCGGCACACACCATTTCATACACACCAGACATAGCGTGCCAAAAAAAAAAAAGAAATCAAGACACAATGAACCCCCCCTTTATCTATTCTCCGTCCTCCCGCCCCGGGCCTGCGCGGTGCCCACCTCTGGAGTCGAAACCCCCTCGTTCGGATTCAAAATCCTCTTCGGCCTCCATTCCTGGAATTCCACAACCGAGGCTCTGTGGGCCAACCTGTGCCTGAACTCCATCCCCCCATCGCTCCATCCACGGGCCAGACAGCCAGCTCACAAAGCCTCTCTCTGTAGTCCCTCTCACACACACACACACACACACACACACACAGACGCACAACGCTTACCTACAGTTACACGTGCTAGTAATAAATACACACCCAGGTAAGGCAGATCACACCCAAAAAAGCTGTTCATAGACGGTCCGAGACATGTTTGCTCAAATGAAGGCCACACACAGGGGAGGCATTTGGGGAATATAAAAAAAAAGAAACAAAAAAAAAAAGACATCCAGGCAAATCGGGGTTTGTAAAATGGGGGCTGGCAAGTGTTGGACTATCTTGATGTTGGTATCTGGAAGAGATGGGGTGGACAGTTCTAAGTAAGAGTGACCAAGACTTGCCTTGTAAGATGGCTTTTGTTCCTTTTCTGACTTTGCAGGGGGGGGGGAATAAATTACTTTCTTTCCACCTGTCTCCACTAACCTCCTTATTTGGGTGTCGGCTGGTTTCTGTTTTGTCATCTGCAATTTCCCCATGACGTGTTTTTTTTATTCCTTTTCAAGAAATGACTGTCGTTAATTATTCTTCCTTTTTTCACGTCTTTAGGAGCAAAAAAAAAAAGAAAAAATATTGTATCCGTGAAATATCAAGTTAGTGGTTAACCAAAAGATGAACATTTTAAATGTTTTCAATCATCTTTTTAATCTTACTTAATTTATCGCATTCATACTTCCTTCATATTGACAAGATTCCCCCTTTTATGTGCATTGAGAGCGAAGAAAGACCTGCAGGGTTGAAAATAGGAGGCTTGCAGAATCATAGTAAATGATTCCGTCTCCAGGAGATGTGTGGCCCTTTGTTAAAGCTGAAGGCCTTCTCAGCCAAAACTAACTTCCTTCTTAAGAAGCCCAACTCCCGTGCGCTCGCAGACGCACACAAAAAAATCTGTGTTCGAAATAAGTTTTCAGAAATTAAATCAACTCGCATGTGCAGGCCTATGAAAAGCCCATTCAGGTTTCAGACTCACTTCCTGTGACTCACACAGATAATATTGGTTATTCAATCTTTACACCGGTTGCATTATTGTTTGTTTGTTTGTTTGTTTTTGAATCCCCCCTCTCCATGCCCCTCAAACTGCCTTTTCTAGGATTTCTGGTTTTTAAAGGCAGCATGCCAACTTTCCTCAGATCCATGTTATCTTAGGTACATTTGACTCAATGAGACGGAACAACGATCAGAATGACTTCCTGAGACTTTCAAAGCAAATATGTTGGCTTTTGATAGTGTCAAGAATGTTTATGACCTCCTTTCACCAGTCCTACAATAGTACGGCCCCATATCAAAATCCTGCATATTGCGTAAAACATAAACCAAAAATAGAATGGAATGACTTCGAAATCTCAAAAATGATTATGTTACTGAGATCCACGAAAATAACACGATTTAATCTTGAATTTCATGGTGAAAACATATCTAAAAAAGATTAGGAAGTGGTAGAAGAAAATTTTTAGCGTACACAAATGGAGAAACATGATGCTATTGAGTGGTAACTGGTCAGGCATAGAAAGAGCACCGTACAGAGGCAGAGTATCTCAGAGGTAAAGACGTGCAGAGGTCCAGAAATGTGCAGAAAAAAGAAAATGAAACAACACCTGCAAATTGGGGAACAAACTATGAAGACTTTGAATAGGCTCATCATCTACCAAACATGATTTCCTCAAAAGATTTATACAATTCAGCTGCCAAAATCCCAACCAGGCCTCAGAAATCACTGCAGAAACCACATAGTTTATCGTGCAATTCACAAATGTCATCTAAAGCTGTGCCATGCAAAGAAAATGTTGTCTGAACATGATTTTAAAAAAGCTGCTGCCTTCTCAGGGCCAAAGCTGAACAAATGACCACAGCATTATGGAAAAATGATGCAGTGATCAGACATAAATTAAAACGTTAAATTCCTTTTGGTAAGTATGGATGCCTTGTACTCCAGATTTATGGGGATGGAGGATTTAGTACAAGTGCTTAGTTACAAAATCCTGAATATCTGGTGGTACAGAAGTGCATGACTGCCTATAGAACTGGTTCGTTTGAAAAGGATACTTCAATGCTGAAACATATCTACAGATTTTAGTCAATTACATATGTTACAGGGAAAGCTTTGCATATTTCAGAAAGACAATGCTTAATACCGTGCTGCGCCAAAACTCAAAATCCATTACCCGTTAGAAGATTTGGTGTATCATTAACCCTTTAAAGCCTGATCCAAGAGTTAAAAAAAAACAGAAAATTACTTTTTTTTTTTTAATTCCTTATTTGGCCTTTTAACAAAATATGTAAAAAGTCAAGATGACTTTTTGTGTAGTCTTCTGCCCCCTTTTATCAGGTGTATTTGATTGTGTAAAATAGGAAAAAGGTGTCAGACGCAAAACATTTCAGAAACCGTATGTATCAAACATGATACATTTGGCATTCCAGGGTTAAAGCAACACAAAAAACTAGAAATAAACCGTGAACTGTCGACTTGAAACCCTGGAATCTTATTTCATACTAGACCGGGGCATCATTCCTTTATCAGAGCGTCCGGTTGCTGATCACCTCTGTTACCACATTACGTTAGCAGAAAAGGAGATGCCACATAAAAGGATGTGTGGCACCGAAACAGCCTCATTGGGATGTTTGGCCGATGAGGAGACCTATGACATATCACTATGTCTGCTGCTATGACGTCCACCGGCTCCCTCGCAGCTTTAAACCAACAAACTGGGACGGTGGGAGCCGGAGGAAAGAAAAACACTTGAGCGGGAGTATGTATAGTAACACAGGGAACTTTGAATGTCCGGTGGTCTCTGAACAGGGTGACTGGTCACTGTAACAAAGCCATTTGAGTAGAATAAAAAAACACAAATAAAAAACTTCACATAAAGAAGCAACTTCGCTGGGTAATACTGTGATTTTTTTAGTCATATACTCAAAGTTTTATGAGTCCAGTAACTGAATATTATCTAAAAACTGTGTCTTAAGATATTATTTTAATTGATAATTGTTGATCCGGTGAAATTACTTTAAAAAAAACAAGTACTTTCCCTTAAAATGAATTCGAGCCCATACAATATCTGAGATGGGAAGCTTTGGTTCATGTGTGCTCGCCTTCATACTGGTGAGAGAATGCGTGTTGAACTCTGACTGAACTCTGGAGCGGTGGGAAATTAAACCAGTGATCTTCCATTTGCAGTAGAGTCTAAAAGGATTATTGCGACTCTTCATCAGACTTTGCACAAACACGCTGGCCACATATATAAATGTCTACTGAAAAGGAAAAGCCATAACTCTGGAAAGGCCCCGGTCCAGTTCCCAGATTGCGGCACTGATTTCCTTAGTGGGTTAGCCATCTTTTTTACATATCTTTTGGAATGTGAATTGTCTAAAAGTTTAGAGTAAAAATGATTTACTGTGACATTTTAAGAATCCTTGAGTGGTCTGAAACTGTATTTTCTTCCTTTTCTGAAAGTCAAAAGTAAACCAACTCCCAATTTTTATTTTCATTTTGACAAGAGCTTGTTAAAGTGCTTACATACTATAGAAGACAACTTGGCTCCAAGTTGATAGAACAAGTGAAAATAGTTTGACAAAATACGTTAATGCCTTACAGCTGTCATATAAGATGGATATGGCCAAAATAAACAGCACATACTTTGACATGTGCTATGCGGGCTACGAAAGCCCACCAGAGTCAATCTTCCTTAAGTCTCTCCAGGAGTTTGTTTTGCCGTCCGGCTGAGCTTACTTTGACTCTGTAATTGACTGGAGCTGGGTCAGTCCCGTCATGCAGTGCGAGGCGGAGCCCTGCGGTCAGACTGGTGTTTACATTAGAGCTCTAATCAGCGTCCCCCCGGGGAGCTGCTTCAGATCTAGGCCACCGAGCAGTTTGGGGCCAGCCCAGTGCCGGGGCCGGCTGGGAGGGGACAGGTTTGCTCCGTACCCACCAGACACGTTTTCGAAACTTGGATTGCTTCCCGCGGCTTTTGAGAGCCTTCTTTGGTGCGGATCTTCTTAGAGATTGTGGGTCAGACAGAAGTGCTGGTGTTTCTGTACGCAGCGTCGACTTTTTGTCTGCCGACCCGAAACTGACCAATCTCCGTAGACAGAAATCATTTGTCCGGATGTTCAGATAACAGCTTCATTCAGAGCCCATTTACACCTGAACTGCCAAGATCACCAGATTATGAAAAAACCTTTAGTTTTTTATTTAAATGCAGAAAACAAAGCGGAAATTCATGACTATTTTCCCATTAAAAAAATAAATAAAAAATAAAAACATGAAGGGGTTTTGGGCATTCCTCTTTTAGAAAACGAAAATGAAAACAAATAAGGACATAAAATGAAGGTAAAAGCAGTAACAAAGAAGGAATACGCATCAATAGGCATGTTTTGACCATGAACTTACTGAATTTACAGAGTTTATGGAGTGAATCGAAAAGGATAAGTGGCATCATATCACAGATGGTGTTGAGGCCCTTAAACTCAATAAGACTATCAAAAGTCGCTTCACACACCCCTAATGGTCAGCAGCATATCACCAATTGTACGTTCTATTGTACGTTTCTGTTGTCCCACTGTGTAGGGAAATCTAATGCCATATCATATCAACACAGCCATCCAGGATCTAGTGCTAGCTTCCATATTCCTCACAGAATATCCTGCTCTTAAAAGTTGCTTCAGGCAGAGAGCTCATTAATTGTTGATTATAGGCCACGGTTTGGCAAATCTGCGCTTTGGGAGCCAGTTGTCATCATCGTGGGCCAGGAAATCTCAGTGACACCTAAAAGAATGCATTCTCCCAGCAAGTTTTTCCCTTTGTAGATCAAAAACTTTGCGTGGAAAATGGTGTACACCATTTTGTGAGTATGCAACTTTTATAAGTGAGAATTACTGTCTGCCTCCGCTCATCCTTAAGCTCTCTGGTTCCCTAACCCCTTCTCCTTCCCATGCGTCACAGCCGGTCCTTGTTCCTTTTCTCCATGGCTTCCTGTTCCCTGGTTTTCATGTCCACCATCGTCTTTTGGGTCTTTGTTCCACTTCAGTATTGTGGAAAAGAAAGTTCAGGTTTAAATTTTCCCGCTTGGCGTTTATCAATTTATGCCCTTGTCCTCAGTCCGTTGCAGGGCCATGCCTGGATCTTCACCACCTCATCTGTAATCTTGACGTATTTCTGGGTTTAACGTTTCCCCAGAAGGACCAAAAACAGCTCAAACACAAGCAAGAGCAGCCATCACCTCAGGCTGTTCCACATACTTCCACATCTGGCCACAGCAAACCGGCACAAGATCAGTAAACTTTAAAGGGATGGATTTTTGTTTAATGAACCAACCTTATCTGCAGTGAGTTCTCGAATCTTGAGGATCTGGACCCTGAACTTCATGAGCAGCGCTTCCAGAACCTCGCACTTCTCCTTCCAGTCCTCTTGGCTCATTGCCTCCTCCGACTCCGCCATGGCGCCCAACCCTTTGAAAAACACAGATAGACACACACACACACACGAGTGAGAGCATGGAACTTACAACACAGTTATCAGTGGTATGTTTCCACAAAGCCATTATTGGTTTCTGCAAACAAACAGAATACCGGTATATCCAGACCTATTTGACTACTTTTCTCTGTGGTTTGAGCAAAACTGTCTTCACCTCAGAGCCAATAAAGAGAAAGAGCGTGCTCCTTAACAGCATAGAACATCTAAAACCCACCACCATGGAAAATGAAGCTGTTGAAGACATAGACACCAAAGAGTTTGTTTATCATCCGCAAATTCAAAGGACTCAACATGGCCGACTATAATACAATAGTATTATTCAGAACAAACTCACACACATCACCAGAATTGCAAGCAAATGTTAGGAATCTCTGCTCCAAACCTCAAAGAACAATGCAATTTCAGCCATAATGCAGATTGCAGATACACAAGACACCATCTATCCATTCCCCAATACTCCATAATCCAGCTAAAATGGAGACACAGCACGTTAGAATTTTAAATTTGTCATGTTTTCTTAATGTATACATCTACCGTGGTCTCTATAAATGTCTAAATAATGTGAACAGATCTGTGAAAAAGAACTTCTGGCACAATAAATTAAATTAACTGTCAGCAGGTAGAGGTGAACTATACTTAAATAAAATTGCAACCCTATGAGGGTTTGATGCAAGATAAAATAGATGGAAAAAATGCACTTTCCTCATTTTAAATTTTTGTTTTTCCCTTTATTTAAATGTAGGGGGAAAGTTTTTATATCAATCAAAAAAATGTAATGATTTTTTAAATAAATGTAAATTATTAAAAAAAAATTTTTTAATGCAATCCTTATTTTAGTTTTACCATAAACTACTTTTTAAATAAAAGGTTTTGACATTGTGACAATGCAATAGGTCTAAGAAAAATCTATTATAAAGGGGCAGGCCCCCCTTGATAGCAACAGCAGAAAAAGGCGTCCACGCCACAAAAAACTGAAACTAAATTTGGGAAACAATTTACTTAAAATCAACAAGAAATCCAACGATAAAACTTTAAGATGGAAACAGTTGAGGATTAGAACGAGGAGCACAGGATCGATGTGGGAAAGCAGCGAGGATCAGACAGGGACTGGGAGAAACGATGAAGTTTAAGATGGAGGCAGCTGAGGATAATGAGCACAGGTTAAGGGAGTTAAGTTGATGATCAAAACAGGAGGGATCCCAGGAACTATTTGTGACAATGGGGAGGAGCTACAACCAGCACCATGAAGAGGAAAATAAACAAAGAACCAAAAGGATGGACTAAAGATTAGACCAAATACCAAAATACAGGGGTAACTGGAAAACATAAATCATGAACCAAACCCACAAGATAACCCAGAACTAATGACACTGACTTTATTTCCACCTCTAGAGATTCAGATGTCCATATATAACTGCTGACATACTGTCTATGAAACTGTATTTTTGTTTTCTACAACTTCATACTGCTCTCTATTCCATATCCTTGGTTTAACTTTACTAGTAAGTGTTTTTTAGTTATCAGATATTACTCCACTGTTAAAGAAAATAAGCATTTAATCCTCACTACAGTGTTTAGTAACAAGTTTGTCCAAGATTTTTTGCATTTTTGGGATATTACCAGTCTGTACTATAGGTTACTGGACTTTATTCATCCTTATATGATCATCAAAATGCTTTAGTCTTAATTTTCGGTATTTTGCTTTAAAGGCACAGAAAAACACAGACGTAAACATGCCCTGCATTGCACAGAGTGTCTGTTGTGCAGCAGATGTTTTAACCCTCGCGAGCACCTGAAATGTTCCGGGGTTGAGTCCAGCTGAAAAGCTGCGGGCGATGGGCGTATCGGCTTGGATTGGCCGAACAGAAAAAACACCTCTACACCCTCCTTTCGGATAAACCCGTATCACATTTTCCAGGGCTAACTCTGGAAAACAAAGCAATAAACACCCTGAGAGCGAAGAAAAAGAAAAAAAAGACAAGAGAGAGAGTGACACCAGAGGGTTTCTGATGGAGAGGATGAAGATACAGAGCCTCAGTGTCTCTCCTCTGAGCAGTAACCTCTCATTACCAGCCTGGCCTCCCCTAAAAAGAGACTGCCAACATGTGTGGAGGGAGGCCGTAAACTGCTTTGCACAGGACCGTTTCTGTTGCGTGTTTGCCGCGAAGGCAAGATATAAAAGAGCTCCCAATCCACAAACAAACAGAAACAACGAGAGGGACCAAGGGGAAGGGAGTTCCCACACCACACAAGCTGCTCACAAACACATAAGTCATGGAAAAAAAGAAGAAAGGAAAAGTTAGACCTTTGTAAATATCCTTAGTCCAAGGAGAGGTTTGATCCTTTTCTGAAATAGGCCACATTTTATTGGAAGACTTAATTCCCTCTCCCCGAGGCAACATTCCTCAATGATAATGTAAGGATGTGGTCAGTGGAAAAGGGCTGAAGACAGCTTAACCCCGAGCCTTGACTCTCAAATGTGTCTTTTTACATCTGACCCCTCTGTGATGGTCACATTAATGCTTTTGTTTTTGAAAAAATAGAATCTTATCAGTGCCAAATTCTTCTCTGTAAAATCCAGATTAAGTTTACTAATTTGTTTAGGAATAGGCTACTGGTGAAATTGGGATTAGAGTACCATTCATCCAGGTATCTTTAAAATCAAAAAGTGTTTTGCTGTGCCATTTAATTACACTGAAAAAACTGGTTCACAGAATGGTTTAAAGGGGGGTCTGAGATGGCCTATTTTTA